GAACAACATTGCTAATTCAAGTCCAAGAATGCATACAATTCCTGTCACATTTTTGTGTCCTTTAGAGTCCGAAGTCAAAATGAAGATCTGTAATAGAGATTGGAGAGGCTTCATTTTTATACAAAGAAAGTATGAAACATATGTAATTTTAAAAAAACATTTCAAATTCTCCCCCATGTATTCTTTACCTTCTTTGTGCACAAAACAACTGCATTATTTGCATTGTTTCATAAAGCATTGTCAAAGACACCTTAAAGAAAACAAGGCAATTCTGAAGCAAATATATTACAAATACAATAACTTCCGGAGAAATACAATACTATGCAGAAGAAGCAGCAGTCTTGGAGGCTTCTAGAGTGTCTGGAAGATAACTTTATGATGCAGTTGGTAAGAGAGTCTACCAAGGGAGGTGCCCTATTAGACCTGCTGTTCACAGAGAAAGACTAGTGGGAGGTGTGGACATCAGAAACTGTCTCAGGCAAAGCAACCATGAAGTGATAGAGTTCTTTATTCTTGGTGACGTCAGGAGGGAGGCCAGCAAAACTGCTATCTTGAGTTTCCAGAAGGCCAACTTGGAAGTATTCAGGACACTGGTAGGGAGAGTCCTTTGGGAGTCTGTCCTGAAGGGTAAAAGAGACCAGGAAGGCTGGTCATTCCTCAAGGAGGAATTCTTAGAAGCACAGGAGCTAGCCGTTCCCCTGTGCCATAAGATAAGCCATCTGGGAAGACTGGTGTGGAAGAATGGGAAATCTCTGCTGAGACACCAAAAGAAAAAAGAATTTACCTGCTTTGAAAGGAGGAATGGGCAACTCAGAGAGAGTACAAAGAAGCTGCTGGGATATGCAGGGAAAAATAATTAGAAGCACAAAAGCCCAGTAGATTTGAAACCTATGTGCTGTGCCTTCTACAGGTCTTCTAAAGGGGAACATATTTCATCTCTATGTCGGCAGAAAATTTAGAGCCCTCTTAGATGATATCCTGATAAGTAGTCTACACAGAAAGCCCTCATCAAATACGAAGAGCAAGCAGGCTCTCTCCATCTTCTAAATACAGGCTAATATTTCCATATTTCAAATATAAACAGATCAAAATTGCTAATGTTCATATGCTAATGTTCACCTGAAACTATGGTAAAGCACCAGACATTGCAGAACTGATACAATTCTACAACTGCACCCCCATGCAGAGACTAGTTCTAAAGAGTGCAAAGCAACCTGACAGCATCTACATAAAACCTATCAGCAGCCCTATAAAGAACACACTATTTAGCGAAGGTTCTGTGAAATAACTTTGGTCACTGCTTGGTGACTTCCTGATCTTGCTCATTTTGTAAAGTGAACTGCACAAATATTTGGAAGGGGAAGGATGGGCAGGATAGATCAAATGTAAGCCCTCTGCCTGTGGAGATGATTATAAGGAGGCTAATACATGTGGATTTTGTTTACAGGTATGCTCTTCTCCATCTGTAGAGAGCTGCAGCTGTGTTTTAGGTCAGGGTAATATAAAGAATAAAAGAGCTAATTCATCTCCCCGTAGAGAATCAGTGCAATGACTGTCTTACTTATGCCCACTCTCAATGGCTTAGTGAATCAGTGACCACATTAGCTGTTTGCAAATGGACACATGTCATGCTTGAAAGGTACATCTCACATGGAATTCACCAACATGAATAGATCTAACCAATTTTATAAAGCAAATTACAATTATTTTCCATTTTGAAACATTTTCCCTCAGGTAAAAAGACAAAACAACAATAACAAAACCAACATGTTACACCCGCTCTTCTGGGAATGTTTAAAACGCAAGGGACATCATAGTTAAAGCCTGGTTTTCATGACATTTTCTGTGCCTGCAAAGTTTACTGTGAGCTAGGGAATACATTTTGTTATACCTTATATTCAATTTTTGTTGTCATTCCCAGTATACCTCTATTACATTGATAGAAAAATGTCCTCTATTTCTCCATTGTCAAACATTGTGCAGCAGATAAAGTGCCTGTTCTGTATGTTGAAATAACTGAGAGTGCTAAAAAGAAAGGCTTTTGTTACTATCAGATTAGCTTCAGGGGAGAGCAAGAAACATATACGCACAAAAATCAACCAAACTTTCCTCTTCCTTAAAAAGAATATGTACTTATAAATCACAGCTTAAGCTCTGATTACTCAAATATGGCTTGCACCCCAAGGGAAGGGAACAGGACCACTTTATACCTTATCCCAATGTGTGTTCTGGAGTGTTTGCTAGGATATTTCTCCTAGAGTTCGCATTGCATCTTTGGATCAGAATGGGGTCCCTCTTGTGGCCAGTGCAGCATTGCAAGGTGCTGAAGTCCAGAAATGCTGCAGCTGAGATGCAAATTCACCAAAAACTCACTAATAACCCATTCTTCTATCATCAACAAATTAATTGTAAAGAATACATCCAAAACTCCAGGCCAAGTGCACTGTATCCCAGCCAGGAGTAAGGAATTCATAGAATAATAAAACCATAAAGATGGAGAAGACATCCAAGGTCGTCTAGTACAACTGTCAACCCATTCCCACCATGCCCATTAACCATGTTCCTCAGCACCACATCTACACCATTCTTGAACACCTTCAGGGATGGTGACCTTGCCACCTTTCTGGGCAGCTCGTTCCAATGCCTTACTGTTCTTTCTAAGAAATAATTTTTCCTAATATCTTAAATGAACCTCTCACCCCCCCCACTATTATCTGGGAGAAGAGGCCAACTCCAACCTCACCACAACCTCCTTCCAGGCAATTGTAGACAGCAGTAATGTCTCCTCTAAGTCTGCTCTTCTCCAGACAGAAGAATTCCAGTTTCTTCAGCTACACCCTCATAAGCCTTGTGCCCGAGACCCCTTACAGCTTCATCACCCTTCTCTGGGCAAGCTTCAGAGACCTCAGTGTCTTTCTTGTAGTGAGGGACCAAAACTGAACATAGTACTCAAAATGCAGCACCATCAGTGCCAATTACAGTCTGATACAAACTAGGATGCCACTGGCCTCCTTGGCCACCTGTGCACACTGGTAGTTCATGTTCAGCCGGCTGTTAACTAATACTCCAAATTTTCCTCTGCACAGCTTTCCAACAACTCTGCTCCAAGCCTGTAGGATTGTATGGGATTGCTATGACCACAATGCGGGACCTGGCACTTGGTTTGGTGGAACTTCACCTTATTGGCCTCAGTCCAGCTTCTTGTTGAAGCTCAAGGAAGGAACTACTTCTTTCTACATCATTTCTGCAGTGAGCAGGGCTGGGAGGGCTCTGCAATCCTTAATTATACCATGCCTGCTGGACTCATTGTGGGACTTCATTACAACAGGACAGAGCACCCACGGTTGGGTGACGATGTCACCGAGCACTAAGGCGCCCCCAGAGCTGGCATATCCATCAGTGAGCCTAAGCTGCACATGGGCCAAGAACAGTCACAAACACAAAAATGACATCCCCACCTGTTACATCTCCTAGACTCATTTAACCCAGAGCTTTTGTGCTGGATTACCCCCCTCCAACCCTCCTCCCTCTCCTTTTCCCCTCCCCCACACACACCCACACACCCACCCACACTCTGCAAGAAGTCTGGTAGGACTAGGCTTCCTATTGAAGGGGAAAATGGTGAGACAGAAACCTCATCAAAACATACTGGCAGAATGCAAGCAATGTACTGCACCACAGTCCGTGTACAACATCAAGAAAAGTGCCTGACAATTTCACTTTCAATTCATTTTAGCAGCGAGAAGGCAGCCCAGGATCAAAGCTTTATAAAATTAGTTTGTGAGACTATTTGGCTCAAGGCATCTGGGTAGCTTTAAATAGTTGTTTAGGACTAAGATTGCCAATGAAAATGTCCTGAGTTGAATTAAGATCAAGTCCAAGCTGGATCCCAAGAGCAGCCAAACCCATGCCTCCAGATATCCACTTTCCACTATAAAGGAAAAAGCAGTGCCAGAAGTGCTTTGCTCTGCATTGTATTCCTTCTGGCCTGAAAAGGCTGGTGTTTTCAGTATGCAGCTAGATGCTTTAAAAAGTAGAGTAAAATAAAATCCAGTAATCCAATTCCTTGCAGAGAAAGCTGGCAATGAAACAGTGACCTCAAACTCCTCTGTGGAATTTCCTTAAATTATAAAATTATGCATTGGTAGCTTAAAAAAAAAAAATAATAATAATAATAACAAAAAAAATAAAAATAAAAACCAACACAACAAACTTAAGGATAACTAAGAATAAGGAATGGTACAGTAAGGATAAAGGAAAGAAACGCCTTTGGGAGAGAGAAATTAGCAGATAACTCATCTTTCCATCCAACCCTTTCCTTCCTCTTCCTCATGTATCTCAGGCAATTGGTCAATTAAATTAAATCCAGTAGGCAGAAAGAGGATTTTGAAGTATAAATAAGCCACAAATACTACAAAAACCTCACAGAGAAGAATAAGAGCCACTATAATCATCCTTCATGAGGGCAAGTACCGCAGTGCTGCTACACCAAGAGTCCATGCAGAGAGAAATGTTATGAATGTCCCATCACAGGGAAGATATTAGCTGGAAGTTGCTACTCTACTGGAGTCAGCTAGTCACCACAGACAGCACTGCCAAATACAAGGACCTGTCATACATGCTACTCAAGGAACAAGCCATTATTTTGCTTTGTGGAATATGCCTGTATATTACAAAAAGCTCCTCAAAAAGAAAAATAAATCTCTACATTACAAAGATGAACAGATAAGTAGGTGAAAACTGCCTGTTCAAGATGCAGAAATCTAAGCAGAATTAGATATCTGACCTCTCTAAATCACCAAAACTCTACTTCATTTTAGGCGATGGTGAGTCAGGTATGCTAAAGCTCCTTATACATGAGGCATGAGACTGCTGAAAGATTAAAGCAAATAGTGTATTGTTACAATCAGAAAGGTCAACACAGTGGAAAGGTGATACAGGAGTACATTAGCAAAGGGACTGGCACAAATAGAATGATGTTACAAAGGAAAAGTACTCACCCACCTCCGAGGATCTAGGCTCATAGGGAAAACTCCACAAGAGAGGGATCTCTAACCAGAGATCCTTCCCCAGTGGCAGTCAGCCCTTAAATGAGGTCTAAGAGAAGTGCAGCCAGGTTCCACCCAGTCTGATCACACAGCTGAATTGCCTTCACCTGTGCTCCCAGGGCTGACCGGGTCTTTTCCCCAGGTGCTCAATCCCCAGGTGGTTTAGGCCATGACTCAACAGTTACCATACATGTAAAAAGTACAATTTGATAACTGTAGCAATGAAGTTCTGCAGAAATTAAGCAGTCATGAATGCATAATATATTTTCAACTACAGAAGCCATATTTTCTTTAAAAATTTAACTACAGGTGCTAGGTAAAAGTTCTGAGAAAAACAGTATACCCCATGTGGAGTGATGGTGAAAATGAATACTTTTCTGTTTCTTCTCAACAGTCACCATGTTTGCCTAAACATCAATCTTCGCTTCCAATATGGAATCCAATGGTCCAAGTAACCATTCTTACCTCAAAAGTGTTTCAGAACCTTGAGAGAGACAAATTTAGCAATGTGCCTATGACTAGCATGCAGGAGGAGTAGGATTTTCCTTGGAGGACCAGCACTGAGATGAATGAATACCCTTTAAAGCATCCTACAGACTACATTCTAAAGAAGAAAACAAGATGTCAACATCAGGCCCTACATTTTAACGTCTGTGTTGGATGAGCAAATAGATAAAGCTAATTCCTTCACCAAAGAAAATACTTATGGCCCAAGACATGAATTACTGTGTGTTAATATAAATGTTTTTGAACCGGAACAATTTAGTGAGCGATTTGCTGATCTCGGACATGGCTTAGTTAATACAGAAGGAGCAGTGTTCCTTCTCTTCACAAGCCCTGGATTTACTAAAGCACTTCAGCCACGCAGAGATCTGATGATGGTTCAGAGGATGACATAGAATCAGGTCCCACAGGCAGAGAGGGAGGCCATGGAAGCTCAGATACTACCACACCCATGGGGCACTCCAGCAGCATGGCATTTCTCACTTCAATGAAGAACTGTCATGAGCTGTAAATTACACAAGCCATGAGGTTTGAACAACAATCTTCAACAGTCTTCAATCTCAATTTATGTATTCATCAATAATCATTAATTGATTGCATGTATAGTTGGTTTCTGATGTCGTTCTGCACCCTTTATGTTAGTATCTGACTTTCCCTTATTCTATTTATATGAAAGTTGGATTTTATGCTGCCTGTGTAGCAGTTCATTTAGAGGAACACTAAATCAAATGAAATATTAAAACATAAAACAAGACTTTAAGACATAAAAATAAAAGCAAGTCAGAGTTTTTTTTACCAACTCCAAAAAAGAGGAGAACTGAGCAGGTGTCTGAAACCCAGGGGATCTCTACAAGGGTCTCACATCTACCCAGCTGGTAGGTAGTAGCAGAAGCATATGCATTTCCTGTGAAGTTACATGGGGTTTGCTGCCTAAAGATAACAGAGAATTCGGCCATTAGCATTTGTTTAAATGGACTTATATTACTGCGTTTCTACCATTCCCACAAGTCTTTTGTTTTGAGATCTTCACATGGGAGTGCCATCAGTTCAAATGGATGTGTAACCTACTGCAGGTTTCCTGAGCAATCCAGTTAGGGGAAGGAGGGAGTTTTCATCTCAGTGATGCTGCAGTGAAAGAAGTACTAGAAGAAAGATTTCCCTACTCATCAAACGACCCATCAGTCTTACTGAACTAAGTAGCAAAAAATCTTTGAAAGGATTTGTTTGCAGAGGATGGTCAAGATAGTTAACATGCATTCAATGTTAAAACATAAACACACAAAAAACGTAATTCCACCTATTCTAAATAAGTTTCAAATACAAAACCTCATACTTGATGTTCAAAATCTTTTGAGGGGCCTTTTACAACAAAGGGGAGCTTTTAAAAAGTTTTGAAATCACCTTCCTCACTAAATAAATGGTACAGAACAAGGAAAAAGAGTAAAGCTATCAAAATGCAAGCTACATCCTTTCAGGTGGAAGGAGCTTGTACAGGCACATATGGATGTTACACTTCTCATCTTCCTTGTATCTTCTGTGCTAATTTTTGCTAAAAAATTGCAAGTAAGAGTTGCTTTCATTTTGTGGGAAGCTCAGATGAAAGTAAAGTGATGAAATTCACATGATGTAGCAATAACTTCAGTACCTAAGAAGTGTATTAAAAGCTTTCAAGAAGCTTGAGTTGGGAAAATGGGACGTAAACGTCCAGCGAGAAAATGATGTCAAAAGATGAAACTGGAAACCAAATCAGCTCACTAGCACAGCAACTTGGATTTTGAAATTAACTCACTGTTGTAGGATTTACAATGGAAAAGAAGGTCTTTGAGTGCACAGACACCTCTATACCCTATTTGTTCCCATTATATATACTACAGCAATATCTTCTGCAACAGAAAAGGTCCCTAACTGCACTGTGCCAGGGCTGCTTGTAAGTGACATTCAGGAAAGCAGGAAGGACAGTTGGCTGAGTCACCAGAGAGAGCATTCAGTGAAAGAGCAGAGTCTGCTTCTCTCCAGCATGGCACTCACCTTCTTCATGATGGATTGAACTGCACAAAGCAGACGATCAGAAGTCTGGTAGTGACAATGAAAAATTCACAAAGGATGAAAGGTAAGGAGATTAATAAGCAATGCAATTTTAGAGGAGTCACAGGGCCATCTGGTGAGACTTCGTGTGCACAATAATTAGCAGGAGGAAGTATAAATATTTCTGTCTTTTTTTTTTTTTTTTTTTTTTTCCCCTCTCTCCTCCCTGTTACCTTGGCTCTGGTACCACTTTGGGTTTCACACAACACCCACAGTATCAGCTCAATTTACTGCACAGATTGTAAAAGGAAGTAATAAAGCAGGAATTAATTATATAAATGATGCAAATGTATTTCTCTATGCTGTCAAAACCTCTGAAACTGGGACTGGCTAACATAGGTGTTCACTGTGTGCAACTCATCCAACTATATAATAGAAGGTACTTCCACAGGGACAATTAGATGTCACAGTGCTTGGTATTAGAATGAATAACTTCCACGTTTTTTTTTTTGTTTTTTTTTTACTTCTGTTTTCTTCCCAAAGTATATCTTGAAATTCCAAATTTGGCTCCACAGAAAGGGATTTACAAAAGCCAGTACACCTGTAGAAACCCTGGAGGCCCTGGAGAAACATGGGGGGTAGCTGTCTAATAGCTGAGAGAAGTTTCTAAATTAAGTGACAATCTGCAGCCTTGAAAACTTACTTAGGTAGCTAAGTTCATAAGTAACCTCTTTCAGAAATAGAGCACATGTTCTAACACAGTTTTAAATCACTACATTATTTTAAAACATCTTCTCAAGAGAAGGAAGCAGTATTCTTTATTGAATACCCTGCTGGACTATATCCATCTGTATACATATATGTTGGACCATATATTGGAATATATCCCTATGGATATATTAGAAATTTCTCCAGAATAGCAGAAGCATAAACTTGTATTTCACACTGTCAGAACGATGTGCCAACCACTCAACTACAGACTAATCTGGTAGGAACACTAAATCCTTCCTATTAAATGATTCTACTCATCATTAGAAAATTAACTGCACTGAAATAGAGTAACAGAATGGAACTAAAATTTAATCAGGTCCCAGAGGAGTCCTAGGATCCTGATCAAGAAACCTGTATGTATATTTTATCTAAAATATGTCTTGCATGAAACACTAAAAAAGAGCTCAAAATTGGGGGTAGTATTGAAATTACCCTTTTTACAACCTGGATGAATACTCACCAACCCTCCCTCCTTTAAATTCTGATCCTACAAACATGCAAGAGACTATCTTGGTAAGTTGAACATATTTGTGGTCAGCTGGAGAAGAAAGAACACAGTAGATATTTGTAACGTCTATGTGTAACGTCTATCCAGTTATTCAGCGCATGCAAGAATAACGAGTTCTAAGTTTATAGTAGAACATTAGAAAAATACGGAAAATGCACATTCTTTTACAAACATCAAACACAGGTTAAATCATATTATTAACAAAACAAACAAACAAACAAAAAAACAACAAAACAAAACAAAAACTTAAAATAATGGGCATTTAAAGATGAACTCTCAGAAATACCATGTAGGAATTTTGCTCTTGTAGCTGTGAACGTGGTGATTTGAACCACCTCCGCTTTATTTCCCAAATCAGGGTGAACAGAGAGTCCCAGCAGATGCTGGTCAGATGAAAAAAACAGGACATATAGCAGTTCACTGGTCAGTAGTTCACTGAAGGATTTACCTTAAAGGCAGAGTTTGGAGTAGGCTAATAGCTGCTTCAGGTTTATTTGGGCTAAAACATGGCTTCAGGAGTTGAAGCCATGGTTTCCTTTCCCATCGCCATTTTACCCCTTCCTCAACCATGCAGAACTATGCAAAGAAATCCCAACACAGCAGAACTACTGACACTCTGGAAAATCTGATGCTCTCACAGGAATAGGACGCAGAAACTGGAGAGGGTTACATACAAACAATTGGCTCAACCAGGGTTCATGCCGCCTCAGAATGAGCAGTTTCAAACTTGAAAAGCAGTCCATGAGGATGCTCTCAAAAAGTAAAAAATAAAGGGCATTACTTTTATAAACCTACTGCAACAGATTTAATAAATGTTACACATAGCAGCACTGAAGCAATTAATGCCAACTCTATAGTAAATAGACAGCAGAAAAGCAAAACCACACTGGAATAGTCTGAATGGATGAATGAAGCCACATTTCCACATGAAACTTGTAGGATTCCTCCATGGCAAGAGGAAAATGGAAAGGCAAAGGCAAAACAAATTGGAACTGGCTCTATATTGTTTGGAGAGTAAGATCAGATATGAAAATTACCAATTGTGGGGAAGATCTTGTACAAAAAGGAAAAGTGAGATTAAAAAAAAAATATCTGAGATGATGAAAGTTCAGGATGTAGATGGGTACAATATGATCTATCATTTTCCCCATCTTGATTTCCACATAAAAACACACGGTATTTTTCTTTGATCTCCTCTATTCTATAACAGAGATTAAAAAAA